TTCAATATTTATCATCAATTTTTTATTTGTTTTATATTATTCAATATTCAAAATGTTTTCAATTATTTATACTTATTATACATATAAATTTAACTTATTTTTGTATTTAAATTGGATTTAATGCTATCCTCAAATGTGTAGTATTTTTTGTATTTTCGGATTTTTTCATCATTTTTTTTACATTTCAAGAAATAAAATTATAATTGTAATTTAAAATTATAAATAGCAATAAATTAAATAAATATGAAGGGTAAATAATTGAGGATGTTAAAATGTTAATTTTTTAAACACCAATTTTTATTAGAATTATTTTATCATCCAGGTCAAAATTCGTAAAATGGTTTTTTTTATTATTATTCTGTATTATTATTTCGGTCAAGAAACTTGACCGAAATAATACATGATATTATATTATGAAAATTACAATAATTTCGGTTAATTTACTTGACCGAAATAGTATGTGTCAATTACCAAAATAGTCATGTTGATTAAATCAGTCAATATTCTTGACCGAAATCTAATACCGGGAAATCAGTCATCCATGACTATTTCGGTCATTACGCTTGACTGAACCTTATCATTAAAATATTGTTTTAATAGTTCGGTCAAATATTTTCACCGAAACTAAGTTTTTTTTAATGATTTTTTACCCCATATTTTGGTCAATGATCTTAACCGAAATAATGAATAATTTCAGTCAAGACAAAATTTCATCCGAAATTGTATTTCCGTCAGTGCTTATTCGGTTCAACAATTCGATTAATCATTTTGATCGAAATAGTAGTTTTTCGATCAAAATATAGGTTTGTTCAGTCAGTGTGACTGACCGAACTTGTATGGTTTTCTAGTAGTGAATTGATATCCAAAATAAAATTTACTTGTAATTTTTTAGACAAATTAAAGATAAAAAGATATAATAAATACATAAATTACAAAAAAAATCTTTAAAAAAACTCTAATAATAAACTATTTAATAGGGGATAGCTGGACAAGAGTAGGTAGGTAAGGGAA